CCCCCACCTAACAGCCTGTGCCCTCACCTACAGACCATGCCTCCACCTGGGAGACTGCAGACAGCCACTGAGAGAGTAGTGACTAAGGAAGCATACTCTGAATGGTGTAAGGTTGATAGTGGTGTACCACAAGGTTCAGTGTTGGGGCCCCCACTGTGTAACCTACTTATAAATGTTACAGAGTTTGGCATTAAAGAAGAACTCCAGGGAAACATGTTATTAACCCTTGCAGTGGGGCTATCCCCACTGTAAATATAACTTTTTTTTTTTTTTCAGCATGGGGGAAGCCCAGATTTTTTTCCCCCAGAACATTTATTTAAGAGAGCTTCATGCCTATTTTATAGATATACTATGTCATGCTTGTTATGCCTCCTTACTTGTTGCGATGTTTGAGATGGTTCTTTGGGGGGGGTTCTTTGTATACTTTTTGCCTTTTGTTTTACCTATGATAGTTGTATTCTTACTTTTCCTTTAATAAACATTTATACTGTACAATGGGCCACCAATGTGCAGCTCAGTGTGCATTTTTGGCAGGATTCTTGCCAAGCTGGCGTAACTCGTGTAACTCAGGGGAGTTATGTCATCGGGGAAGACTTAAAAACCAGACCAGAAGAAGATGGAAGCACCATTTATTTCTTAAGACCTGTTACGTGAATGGCCAGCATTAGACCCTTAAGAACTTAATAATAGCTGCCCCAAACCTCTTTTTCCACCATATACTTGTTTCATTGATCTTAAAGGGAAAATATAATGGAGTGGGGAATTATATTACATTTTATCTATCTATCTATCTGATAGATCTATATATATATATTAGGGCTGGTAATGATTACAATTTTGGTGTTCGATTAATCGACAAAAAATGTAATCGATTAACTTGGAGCCACTCAGCCCCTCTGGCTGAGAATCCTGGGTCACTTTGAGGCCACCTAACACCGTGGTATTGCCTCACAATGCCACAATATATAATATTCATGAACATTTTAAATAAAGTAAATATACATTCCCTAAACAAGATTGAGTAAGGACACCAAGATGTTTGCCACCTGTGGAGAAGCAGCATCTGAGGGACTTTTATTCCTTTAAAATTGAGTCCTGGTTATATGTGCTGCTTTCCTTTGATGTATTTGATCACCTGTATTCATATTTATTGTTATGCTGTTGAAAATGTACATAACAATGTATTTTAAAAAAGAGGGCATCATGTACAACTAATTTCAGTACTGACTTCAATATGATAAGATAGTATACAATTGTTTATTTTCAGTTAAAATATCACCAAAAGCATTTTCAACTGAATGCATCTGTAACTATAGCAGAATATGTCTGTGATGAAGTATACCTACATCTAAAGGAAAAAGGTCACCACTCCTTTGAAGACAATCCATTATGCATCCTAGACAGGGAGCAGGACTGGTTTAAAAGAGGTGTGAACGAGGCCAAGTTTGAATAGAGGTGTGTGTGGGGGCAGGTGCGTCCCGAGGCTGGGTGACACCCGGAGCGGTAACCGAGTGTCATCCCGCCTAGACGTCACTGTTAAATGACTGTGAGTCATTTTGGTGTCACCCCTCCAATGGTGTCACCCCGGGTGCGGGCCGCAACCCCCGCACCCCCCTTGTGACGCCACTGTGTGTGTGGGGGGGAGACATATATTGTCTGCCACATACAATGCTGTTTTAACTCCTCCTAGACTCCTATTATGCAAATGCAATCAACACCTGGTTGTGACTAACATATTATGTGGATTGGAACAACATTCACCATATTTATTCCCAGAGAGTCATTCTGAATTGAGAAAGCTGGTCGGATGGCCAGTACAACGTCTTCATGACAAATACAGCAAGTCCAGTTGCCTTGACTTATTTCTTTACAGATATAGCAGAATAGTAAACTAAAGCATATTCTGTATAGTATGCACCATACGAGACATACTAGGTGACCCTAAGCAAAGCTCTTACCATTGCATCCCAATGACTATACTTTGCAAAAACGTACTTTGACAGTCTCATTGTCACAGGTCGGCTTAGAACTATGACGTGAGTGGAAATCACTCATCTCATAGTTCTCCTTTAATATTTGCATAAGCTTAGGCAAGCCACAGAGTGTCAATGTTAAAGCCTTGTCTTAAACGGTGCAAGAAATGAGTGAGGTCACCTTGTGAAAAGACAGCATTTCCCTGCCACATGCCAGCAATCTATGCCTGACTGATGGTCAATGACTCTGGATGTGTCCTCTATGGTATATGATAGAGAGATGCTCTAAACCTCCTCCACCCAAAACTAACTGGATGCACACAATATTTTGTTAACATTACACCTATTGCAGATATATTGTAGATTCAGTTTGAATCCACTTTGCTTTCACTAGACTATATTTTACACCCGTTTTTTTAGGCTTCTGGTCTGACTTTTTCTTCTTGGACCATGTAAGGTGGTGGAGGAAGTGGTGCTGATGGTTGAGGAAATGCTGGTGCTGTAGCTGCATATACTGAGGGGGGCATTGAAATCACAACATCATTCTGTATCACAAACACCTGCAAAGGAAGATTAGATAGCTCAGTAAAAAAAAAACCCTCACATTTCATACTAAAGGTTTTTACTATTTAAAAAAACTAAATATGTATTTTATTTTATATGAAGAATATAAACTTAGAACAGTTCCTCAAAAAGTCTTGCGATGGTTGTAAGGTAATTAAAAAAACATACGATCTGCCCATCTTGGACAGACAGATCGTACTTGCGATCATCGGTATGTTGCTTTCTACATTTAGTCCTGCTTTGCACAAGCACTAGTGAGGGGGGAGAGCCGTCTTCCTCTCTCACCTGTCACAGGAGTTCCAGCACAGTGCTGTGCTAGAACTCCTGTATTGGAGGTGACAGGGGTGATAAAGAGAACCTGTCCCCTTCAATTGCTATCACACAGGGGCTTGTTAGCTCTTGTGTAATAGCAATAAAGTTAAGTGGGAAAAAAATTGATAAAAAAAATAATTAAAGAAATAAAAATTGAACAAACAAATAAGAAATAATTAAATTAAAAAAAATAAAAAGTTGATTAAAAAGTAAAAAATAAAAAAAACAAATGATTAAAAAAAAAGACAATTATTATAAAAAAATAAACAATAATAAGATAATAAAAATAAAAGTGCTGCGCAAACTGTTGGCGCTATATAAATACTATGTAATAATAATAATAATAATAAAAATGTAAAGAAATTTAAAAAAATAAGTAAAAATAAAAACGTGATAAAAAAGTTTAAAAAAAGAAATAAAACTAACCCTGCCGCCATGCCATCTGGTTGCCATTCTCCATTGATGGGGGGTTGGCGGGGAGGGGGGCGCATTGCGGAACCTGGCCTTGGGGCAGCAGGGAGAGTAAATCCGGCCCTGAGCAGATGCCTCCAGATGCCCCTTGATCTTCATTCTCTCTGGCTAAGAAAAATCCAAACACTATGGTACATCTGCTGGAGACACTTCACCTTATTTTTGCAGCTTCAGATTGGACCAGAAGCCCCTTTCAATCTGCTCATCCAGATATCTAGTGTCTGACAGCATCTTAATTTAAGCCCAACCAATGTCCATGTTCTGTGCTTCTCTCACCTGAGGGACTATGGATGATGCATGATTCAGAGAACGGCATCCAAATACAGACACAGCTATAGATGTAGAAAATAGCAGCAGGTTTGTCACCAGAAGAATGGTTTGAATTAAATATCCGCCAACCTGTACAATAGACAAACACAGGACCTTTGTTAAGTCATGCATGGCAGCTATACAGGATAATTACAGTATCTGCACAGTCTGACCACAAATCTAGTATAAAAAAAGAAGCAATGACTATTGTTTCCAGTGTTCTAGAATAATAAAAAAAATCTGTATTGTATGTGCCATAGAAACCTTTTTCTATTGTTCTAGAATGCCCACTTACCAAATCTGCTGTTCAAATTTGTTTTCTAAAAATGTGGAAATTGTTCTGAGAACATTAGTGCTTCCCAAGGACAGTGCTTTACTAGCATAATCTAAATCAGCAGGGGATATGCTAGAGCACTGAGGTTGGCATATACATTATAAGGCAGGTTAAAAGAAAAGTCCTCTATGCTTTGGCATTGAGTAGATATGACTATGTACTGGGTGAGAGTGCCTACATGTAATACAGCAATTATGTTTGCATAAGTACGTTGAAAGGGCAGAATCATGGCGCAATGTCCAATAAGGTTTATTAACTTGCATGATAGAAATATGTAGGAGGCCATTGGTGACTTTGTCTGGTAATGCTATTTGGCTGTCTCTAGCACCCATACTTTTTAAGTCACTGTCCCAAAAACAAGATGGCACATAGAGAGGTCTTAGTTCAGGTTCCTTTTAACAATTTCACTGCCAGGCCCTGCTCTCCACTTTTAGCCATTGTAGCGCTCACCCCCCTAAGGAGCTGCCGGAATAACCGGGTCATCACTAGTCTGTCTAGGGCAGGGATGGCCAAACTCCAGCTGTGGTGAAACTACAAATCCCATGAAGCATCTCTCTCCGGGAGTCATGTCTGTGGCTGTGAGAATCTTGCAAAGCCTCATGGGATTCCTAGTTCCACCACAGCTGGAGGGGCGCAGTTTGGCCATCCCTGGTCTAGGGGATTTGGTCTTCCGCTGCCCCATTATCATTTAACCGGCCTTCTAGTGCCCACAAAGCTGATTTCCACTCCAGTAGCACAATGCTGAATAACTTTTTATTTAACATCTTCACAGGGCCGTAGATAATTTTTTTTCCTGGGGGGGGTTCAGCTTCCTCAAATTATAAGATTTTATGTAGCAGACACATAAAGGTTTGAAAAAAATATACCGGCAATATCATTCCTAAACCAATCCTTTACCCCGAGCAACACCGATTTTGCTGTTTGACACCATATGGATAAAAACCATGTGGTACCACTTATAATTGGTACCAATTCACACAAACAGCTTAGTATATACTTATTGGGATTTTGTTTTTACCAAAAACATTTAGAAGAATACATTTTGGCCTAACTTTAGGAAGAAATTTGATTTTATTTGATATTTTGTATAACAAAAAGTTGAAAATATTTTTTCCCCACAATTTTTGGTCTTTTTTCATTTAAAAAGTCATTAAAAAATGAAATTAAAAAAATCATAAAATTAAATTAAAAAAATCAGCGGCAATCAAATAGCCCCAAAATAAAGCTCTATTTGTGTAAAAAATTAGGCGCCCGGGGGAAAGTCTTTTATTAGCGCTCCCCCAAATCTATCCATAGTTCAAGAGTCATTCTATACAAACTGTTCCCTTGCCTATGTTTTCCCTTCTTGATCCACCTTCAAATCACCTCATTCTCCAGTGCTGCTTTGGTAATTTAGGAGCCCCCACTGGGCTTGCTTCAATTTTAAAGGCATTGCCCCTTCTAATCTGTCATGGAGGAGAAAATTGAGTGATTTCAAGCCTACACTTCATGGTGGTTCAGGAGGGGTGCTGCCGCACCAAAAGAAGGGAGCACAGAAGTGGGTCTAAATCCACTGACCCACCATGGAGGCCCACCACATAGCAATGCATTATACAGCAATGCAGAATACCACCAGCTATAGAGGACTACAAATCCCAGCAATACATTATACAGCAATGCAGAATACCACCAGCTATAGAGGACTACAAATCCCAGCAATACATTATACAGCAATGCAGAATAATATGAAGCTACGTACTCTGTGTTGCTCCAGGGTGGTGGCCTGATGCCTCCAGGGTCTCAGAAGGGCTTTGTGGGGTCTCAGGTGGGCTGTGCGGGAGTCTCAGGTGGGCTGTGCGGGAGTCTCAGGTGGGCTGTGCAGG